CTGAAAATTCAGGTTTGTAAGATCCTCAATATAGCATTCTTCTTCTTCTTCTTCTTCATGATTACTCGGTGTATGAGAAAAGTGTGGACACATGCCATTGAAATTGATTCGTTTTCCGCGAAAGTAGCGCAAACCAAGGAAGGGCTCATCCAGTCGGGTTTTTTTTAAGTTTGGCCGATATTTTCACCCTCACGTGAACATTTAAAGTATTTCCCCTCCATGAAATTTCAGAAAACTTCTGAAAGTCTCATTAAACGGCACTAGCTCACGCTAATATCTACTTAAATGGCTAAATAAAAATACTGCCTTGAATACAACTAGATCCAGTGTTTTCTTCCAGTGGTGTTGAGTGCAAGTGAGAAGCATCTTTAAAGAGAATGTGATTCAGCAGCTACTGGCCCAGACGCTGTCTCCTCACATATTCCTTTGAATTCGGCTCTGTTCAATTTACGGCTGTTTCAGGGGATCACAGTAACCAGTACTACTTGGAGGACGTCATCGTCAGATATAATACTGGTGCTTCCTTACGTCCATCCGTTAACCTAAACACCATTACGCCCTTCTCCTTTATTTTCCCGACAGTCCGAAATTTGCATATAAAACCCAACGCAGTGCCAAGGAGATACCGTGGTATTTGAGGTCTCTTCTGCGCTACAAAGCCTAGGCAGAGGTTGTTAAACGTATCCACATGTTATTACCATTATCTCTTGACCAAAATGCATGACCAGGATAACTGATCATCCCTCGCGCGTCAGATACCATAGCGCAAACCGCCGCCCAAGCCCAATTTCCATAGTAGCGCAGAAAAACGTAAACAAGAGCTTAAATGCGAAACCGCTTGCGGATAGTGCGTTCAGGCACTGTTGGTTTCACATCTAACAGTTTATATCTTGCAGTTGATAGTGGTATCTAGCGAGATAATGAGAGCAACTTCGGAGGGAGGCTCGCAGTCGGTTACATGCCCTTGTTAGTTTCCTCTCCGTCACAGTTCATAAAACACTCACCTAAAACACTAGCCGCCTTTACAAATAGGAAATATTTCTTTGGTGATGGCGCAGAGTATATCAACAGGATACTTAGTTGGATAAGCGAAGCAGTTCGCATTACGAAAGGAAACAAAAATGAAAAGAAAGACAGTCTTCGGAAAATGGAGTTTTACTCGTGAATTTTCAAGCAGGCAACACAAACCGTGACTGGTTTATCCTCTGTCCCCCCCCTTCCCACTGTGAACGTCTGTCTTCCTGCCTCCCCCCATCAAACACTCTAGTGCAATAATCCCATTTCCTACTTTTCATTTACTCAGACGACGGGCGAGTGTTATCTGCTTAAAAATGCACATAAAAAACTCGATTTTCCGAAGACCGTCCTTCTTTTCAGGAGACTTAGTCCCCAAATATTCAATAAAGTGGAGTACGCTAGGCTTGAATTGTCAGTCGTGTTTGGAACTGTATAGAATTTTGTCTTTTAATAATTACATAATTTACGCCTGATGGAGAGGTACTCATTTCGCTAGTTATAGCTGCTTTGCAGAAAATTGTGCCTATCGAAAATGAAGCAGTTCAAACTGCGCTTTACATGTTGGCCTTCATATGCGCGTGACCGAACAAGCTTGCCAAGGTGTGAAATGATAGTTATTTTGGCAGGATAGCAAGCCAGATTGGCA